CTATCCACCAGTGGCTTCTGGTGGCTTCCTCCCATTTCTAGCATTCCAGTCTGGCCCTTCAGCCTTTCTGCTTTCTTGCTCTGCTGTGTCTGCCTTTTCCTGTCCGACCCTGTGGGGTGGCTGGACGCGATGGACACCATGGACCTGTGGGGTGGCTGGACATGATGGATGCCATGGCACCCAAGGCAGGGCCAGCATCCTGTGTGGGTGCTCTCCCTGGCAGGTGCTCCGTAACAGTAGACGTGATCAAACACTAGAGAAAAGCACCTGAGAAGTGTCTTGGGGGCTGACGTGTCTGTGACCAGGACTCCCAGGCTCTGCTGGACACTGCCCAGGGGTGGGGGAGGTGAGCCAGGAGCTGGGGTGCAGGGGGAGAGGGAGCCTGGGTGCCTCTTACCATTGGATGAGGATCAGACTGAGACGTGCACTCAGCCAGTGAGGACCTGAACTCCAGCACAGGCTAAAAGAGGCAGGTAGATGATTTTTTTCTTCCCCAAAAAACACTGATGCAGGTCACAAAAGTCCCCAGAGGGTAGGCGTCCATTTATGTGAAATGTCCAAAATTGGTAGATCCATAGAAAAGGGAAGTAGGGGAGTGGTGAAGGGTGGTGGGGGGAGTGGGGAGGGAACAGGGAGTAATAGAGAGCAAGCACATGACTTGAGGGGGGTGGCATATGGAAAATGTTCTAAAATTGCATCACAGTTATAGATGTGCAATTCTGTGAATATATTAAAAACCATGGAGCTGTACATTTTAAACGGGTGAACCCTAGGGTGTATAAATATATCCCAATTAGGCTGTTCTAAAAATTAAAAAAAAAAAAAAAAGGACATTCAAAGCAAGGAAAAGGAAAAAAAGAAAACCGAATTCTTCGAGGAAGTCTAGACTCAGAATAGGGTCTGTATCCTCACTGCTCAGATGCAGACCAGGCCGGGACCCCCAGCCTCAACTCGGCTGCCATCACTTGGTCCTCACGAGAGGAGGTGAGCGGGCTGACAGTGCGACTCTCCTTAGACCTGGCAGGGCACCGAGGGCCCATGAAGACCGCCACCCTCAAGTCTGGAGGGATGAGACCACAGGGTCACAGCTGTGGCTGGCTCGCCCCGGGGGTGGGGTGGTGGTGGAAGCTTCCAGAAGGGCTAACTGTGGCACCAGATAAACTGTAGTTGACAACCTAGTGGGGGCTGAGTGTGGACCAGGTTGAGAGTTACACTCGTGGGGTGGGGGCCCTCGTGGGCTCACCTCCGGGAGCCCTTCCTGGATCCAGCTGTGGGGACCAGAGCGGATCCCCCATGCTTGGTGCAGCAGGAAGGGAGGTAACCGGTTTGATGTGCTCAGAGCCAGCTCGTCACGGGCCTGGTGGGGGTCACCCTACCAGACGCCTGACCAGCGCCCCTAGGCTTCCGTCTCGGGGAGCGGGGAGACGGGCTTCGCATGTCATGGCCTGGGGGGGCGGTTCTCTGAACATTTCTTGCAGGACTGGTCTGTGGGCAACATGTGCCATCTGGCTTTGTCCGCAAGTCTTGATTCCCCCTTCCATTTGGAGGGAGATTTCACTGGAGCGAACTCTAGGTGGGGGTTCACTTCCGTCTTCTCTCTTGCCCGGTTACCTTTGCTCCCTGCAGGTAAGCTGGCCTTTCTTCTGGCCTCGTTCAAGATTTTCTTTGTCTCTGATTTTCTGCAGTTTCGATGTGATATGCCTATGTGTAGATGATGATGATGATGATGATTATCGTATTTTATCCTATTTGGCGTTTCCTTGGCTTCCTGGATCTGTGGTTTGATGTATGGCATTAATTTTGGGAAATTATCCACTATTATGACTTCAAATATTTCTCCTGTTCCTCTTTCTTCTCTGGGACTCCAATCGTGGGTGTGCTACACCTTTTGTAATTCTCCTGTAGTTCTTGGATCTTCCATTCTTTTTTTTTTTTCACTTTTTTTCCTCTTTGCATTTCAGTTGGGAAGTTTCTATTGACATATCTTTAAGTTCACTGAATCCTTCCTTGGTGGTGTCCAGTTTACGGATATTCCCAGCTCAGCCTCTGTGCGGCCCTGTCAGTGGTCTGAGTGTCACTGCATGTGTCCCAGCATCACAGAGAATCTGTAAATCTCTGTTGTAAAATGCTGATAAAGCACTTGTGTCCAACATATACCAGGAATTCTTTAAAGTCAATAATAAAGGGGCCCCTGGGGGGCTTAGTCGGCTAAGCATCTGCCTTCGGCTGAGGTCATGATCTCGGGGTCCTGGGATCAAGCCCCACATCGGCTCCCTGTTCAGCAGGGAATCTGCTTCTCCCCTTCCTGCTCCCCTTTCCCCCTGCTTGTGTTCTCTCTCTCTACCAAATAAACAAATTTCTTAAAATTAAAAAAAAGTCAATAATAAGAAAACACACACCCCAGAACAAATGAGATCTTGCTATTTGCAACGACACAGACACACCTAGAGAGTAAAGTGAAATAAGTCAGTCAAAGACAAGTACTGTATTATTCCACTTCTACGTGGAATCCCACAAAGCAAAACAAATGCACAAACAAACCAGAAACAGACTCATAAATACAGTGATCACATAGGTAGTTGCCAGAGGGGATGGGGGGTAACCAGGAGAGGGGGATGCAGAAGCCCAAACTCCCAGTTTTCAATAAATGAACATGGTAATAATATGGTACTAGCGTCGTGTGCCAACAGGTGCTAACCACACTTCTCACGGTGAACACTGCATATTACACAGGATCGTTAGATCACTATGCTGTGCACCCGCAACTAATATAACATCCTGTATCAACTATACTTCTAAAAAAAAAAAGGCGCAATGAAGGGCAAAAACTCTGAACAGACTCGTCACCAAACAGGATGTGCCGATAACAGATGAGCCCATGAGAAGTTCTCAGCAGCGAATGTCGGCAGGGAAATGCAAATTAAAACAGCAACGAGATGTCACTACACACCTGCTGAGGTGGCTCAAGTCCAGGGCACTGACAGCATCACGTGCTGGCGAGGAGGTGCAGCGACAGGAGCTCCCCTTCGCTGCTGGTGGGGACGCAGAGCGGCGCAGGCGCCTCGGGAGCGGTCTGGCGCTGTTCGGAAGCCGAGCACAGCCGGCTGTACCATACGATCCAGCAATCATGCTCCTTGGTATTCGCCCAATGAGCTGCAAACTCGTGACCACACAAAACCCCTGCCTACGGATGGTTATTGCAGCTTTGTTCATAATTGCCCCCAAAGGGCAGCAAGCGAGACGTCCTCCAGCAGGCGAATGGATAAACCGAGCGTGTCACAGCCAGACAATGGGGGACTATCGAGCAATGAAATAAATGAGCCATCAAAACGCACGGAGGCAGCGTAAATGCCTTTCGCGAGGGAGAGAAGCCAATCTGAAGGGGCTGCACGCCGCAGGATTCCGTCGATGCGACGTTCCGGAAAGGGTTATGCGAGCAACGCAATCAAACGAAAAGCTAGTGTTGCCGGGGTTCCGGGGGCAGAGCGCCGAGGGTGTTTAGGGAGCGAAACTACAGGAGCCTGTGGGGGTGGGCCCAGTCATCACCCATCTGTCCGAGCCCGGGAACGCACACCTCCAAGAGTCAGCCTGCTGCACGCGGGGCGCGTCAGTTAACGATGATGAAACAGCGCCCGTTCCTTGGTTGTGACCAGTGTAGCTCCCTCGGGGGAGGTGTCGTCAACAGGTGGGGAAACTATGCGGGCGCCCTGCACTACCTGCTCGGGGGCTCTGTAAACTCAAGACTGTCCTAAGAAGTAAGATCTGTTAATTTAAGAAATAAGTCAAGTTCGTAAATAAAAATCGGTGTGATTCTATGACCCACTGTCAACGTTTTGATGTAAATGCATAATTTTTAATTTTTTTAAAAAGGATTTTATTCATAGAGACACGGAGAAAGAGAGAGGAGAGGGAGAGAGGGATGGAGAGAGGCAGAGACACAGGCAGAGGGAGAAGCAGGCTCCCTGCGGGGAGACTGACATGGGACTCGATCCCGGGTCTCCAGGATCACTCCCTGGGCTGAAGGCGGCGCTAAACTGCGGCACCACTTGGGCTGCCGTAATTTTTAATTTTTTTTTTTTTTTTTAAGAATAAAAAGATCCTGGGATGCCTGAGAGGCTCAGTGGTGGAGTATCTGCCTTTGGCTCAGGGCATGACCTCTGGGGTCCTGGGATCGAGTCCTGCACTGGGCTCCCTGCAGGGAGCCTGCTTCTCCCTCTGCCTCTGCCTCTGGGTCTTTCATGAATAAATAAAATATTTGAAAACAAAACCAAACCAAACCTGATGTGCGTGGTTGCCGGCCTGTGGTGGCCTTGTGATGGGACTCCTGACCCCGAGGCCCCAGAAACAGGTCTGCTCCCCGAGGCCAGCACGGTGGGTGTGGGCGGAGGCCCTGTGCTGCCCCACCGGGGCGAAGGGAGAACTAGACCGGGCAGCAGCACAGTCAGGCCCGGGGCCCTTAGAGCTCCTTCTGGGAGTTCACATTCACGAGGCGTAGAACGGAAGCCCCAGGTTGACATTTTACAGCAGCAAGAGCCCGAATCCCAACTGCCCGCTGTCAGAAGCAGACGGAGGGACGTGCATGTGGTGCTGAGACGTGGGGGAAGGCAGGACCGCGCGTGGCGGGGACAGGCCTCACTGGTATCCCAGTTGTTATTCTGTGGGTTACTGGCCCTCTGGGGAACCGGTGCTGGATCCACACCACAGCCGAGGAAGTTTGTGTGGGAACACCTGCAGGTAAGGGTCAAGAGCACAGTGCCCGCCTCCTGCCCGCCCACCCACGGAGCCCGTCGCTGGTCCCCAGCACGAGAAGCAGGGCACCTCTGCTCCCGCTCCCCCCACCCGGGAGCGGCGGCTGGCAGCCCCTTGCTGGCTCCGGGGCAAATGGGCCTAAGAGCCCTGGGGTCCGGCCCACCGGCCGCCACCCTCTGCCTCCCTGCGCTCCCGTCGACCCCCAGTGGCGTATTTCCATGCGCACGGACAGCCAACATCAGGTACAGACGTGAGTGCAAAGACAGGGTTGGTTTATTGGACTTGGCTTTGACGCGACAGGCACTCTGCAGGCGCGCGTACAGGCTGGTGGTGAGCACACCGTCCCTGCCGGCAGAGCCAGGTCGGTTCAGAGCGAACGGATCAGAGGACGGTTCCGTGTCATGTCCTTCCCACACTAATCATCGCCTCCGGGTTTCCCGGACCCTCCTTTGTGCTTTCAGGTAAACAGGAGTCAGAAAGGATTGTACGTTTATAAACTGTGATACCAAATTGTACAAAACTAACCAGGCGTGTGGGGTCGGGGGAAGATGACCGTTTTACAGAATACCGCAGGAACACCAGCATTGATGTGAGTTATTTCCAGTTTTGGACTCCAAGTCCCCTTGGCAACTTGGCCGAAGAAAAGAACACGCATCGAGTAGAAAACTGGTATTCTAAATACGTTTTCTTTGTGTGACACACTCTTGTTGCGTGGATACATAATGTGAATTAAGAAAAAGTTTTTTTCCCTCTCTTTGCTGCCAAAATGTAGGCATTAAAATTAAGCCACAGTAAACCCACTGAACTTACCCACAAAATGGAGTAAGTTGGGACAGATTTAGGGAGGGAGGGAGGGAGGGATGGCATCGAGAGGCGCGGCGGTGCGGCAGGGGCGTCTCTAACACTCCTCCAGGGCCTCTGAGCAGGGACGGGCGTGTGCTCTGTGGAGAGCGTCCAGCATGCACCTGGGGGCAGCCGTGCCCACCGGGCCCTCGAACCTCTTGATGAAACACCTTTAACGCCGCTGGACTACGTGCTCCATCTTTAAAGCTAAAATGAAAACTGTTACAAAAATAATCCGGCTGAGGATCATGAAACTTTTTTTTTAAAACAAAAAGTTAAAAATATTTGAATGTTCAAATCTCATCTTCTCACACTATCAGATTTGGTTTTGAACGTGATTTAACTATCTTACGGGATGCAGCACATAAACCCCATGCAAGCACCACAAAACCATCCCGTACATAAGACTTCTCAGTACAACGACTATTTGACAGCTCAGTGTTAGTTATTTCTCTTCTCGTGGACTAATCATGACAAAACTTTATTACAGAGCAGGAAAAGGACAAGGTTCATCCCTCCTTCTGGGGGGGCCTCCATCGCCAGCTGGCCCACCTGACCCTGCAGGGGCGGTATTTGCACGCAGGGCCCCGCCCTGATGACGTGATTAAGAAACCAAAGTCGAATCAACACAACCCTGCGATCCCAGCGGCTCGGCCTCCCTTGTCACGAGAGGCACTGGCTGGTCTCACTGAGGCAGTGCTGGGGCCCTCTCGTGGGGAGGAGCCAAGGGGGCTGCCTGGGTTTTGGGGAGACGCTGGGGACCCTGCATGGGGCGGAGGCAGCCTTCGTCCGAGGAGGCCTGAGGTCCCGAGTGGAGGGCGGGCTGGAAAAGCACGGAGCACCCGCGCGCCAACACCATAGCCCCCACGTCGCAGACCTCTTCTTTAGGTGTGCGATTTGTTATCTCGTAAACTCAACACGGCGCCGTAAACTCCAGGGGCCTTCCAGAGGTGACCACTTGATTTCGGAATCTGCATCCTGTCCATCACGGGGGCTCAGGGCTGGTGCGGTTTCCCTCTGCTCTGTCCCTGCTTCCCCCGCTCATGTCTGAGCACCTGCCACCAACGTCTGTCATTAACGAAAATCAGAAGTCTCTAAGAACCTTAAGTGCAAGCTTCAGCATTTCAGATAAAAGGTAGCTACGAACAAATAAATATGAACAATTCTTAACGGCTGATTTCCACCTTCCAGCAGGAACGCAGGTTTTCGGACACCGCAGCCACACCTCTGAAGAAATGATTTTTAGTCTAAGTCAGGAAAGCTGCTTTTGGGCACGCCAGTCACCAGGGTGCTGGCTCGAAGGCTTACGGAGAAAGGTCAGAAGGGCAGGCGGAGCACAGGACCCGGAAGGAGGAGTGTGCTCGGAGTCCCGGGTGAGCGCCGCCAGGGGTGCTCACCAGGGAAGACACTTTGGGCTGGCCTGAGAGGTAGGAACACAAGGAGGGGAACAAGGCCCAGGGGAGGAAGGAGGCGTCCCGAGGGCGGAGGCTCTTCTCTCCCCGCCCCTGCCGCAGGGAGGGCTACGTGCCTCCTGCTGACCCGGTGACAGGCACCTGGCTGGACACCTACGGACAGGGGAGGAAGGCCACCGGAAAGCCACCCGGCACGGCAGGCACGGCGCCGAGCACCCCAGCTCTGCAGTCTGCGGACGGGGACGGCATCTCCAGGCTCCCACCCCGGTGGGGGTCACAGAGGTCATTTGCACACCTGAGGGGCTCATGTGCCAACAGCATCTGTTGTAAAACCTTCAGCCAGATGCCCACAGCCCCCACAGAAGGATGGAGCAGCAGCAGCTCCCACTCAGAACCTTGTTTATACAATTTATGGGGATTTATAAAACAATAAAAAAAGGCCCCACCTTTTTAAAGTTATAATTTATAGAATATCTGTACAAAAACAGTCTCTAAAAGGACCCTGCTACTATCCTAGAAGAAGTCCATAGCGGTCGGCCTTCTCTTTGGCGTGGTGGTCAGCAGCTTCTTGGTCCCCAGAGGGGTGCTGGTAGGTGAGCTCGTGGGCGTCTTTAGCACTCCGTGGAGGGGCCTCTGCTCAGGGTTGAAGGCCACTCGGGAGGGGCCCGTGGGACTGACCAGGATACTCTTGTCTGTCTTCTTGAATTCTGCCCCGGATGAAAGCAAGGCCACGCATTAGCGGAGTAGCATTCCTGGCCTGCCCAGCGCCCCAGTGCTGTCCCCCGTCAGTGCCGTCCCCCGTTCCCACTGCCGGCAGCCCAGCCAGGCCCGTGCAGTCACGAGGCCCTGGAGAGAGCGGGCCCCGAGCTTCCAGAGGTCACGGACTCACTATCCTGCTTCATAGAACGAATGAACAAACGTCCACGGACGGCACAGGAGGGGGCGTCGGGCAGGGGGGTGAGGGAACGCGCATGAGCCTGAGGCTCAGGCGGGAAGAGCCTTTCATTCCAGCTGATCTGCTCCCCACACTCCCTCCAGCTCCAGAAACAAGGCCTGGCAAGGCCAGGGGCACCTCAGGCTCCCCCATGGTCTGCCCCCCTTCACACGTACGTTTACATGTAGGCCTTATGAAAGGTCAGATCTTAAACACATTACATCCTTTTAAAAAGCTTGGTTTCTATTAAAACAGAACAAGTAAAAGGCACTGATACTAAAAGCATCTTCTCTTGGGCACGCGGCTCGCAATGTTAGCAGACGCAGCTCGGCTGGGGGCTGCCAGTGGTCCCCAGGCCACAAGGGCCTGCAGCGGTCTGGGTGCCCAGGCTCGAGGACACGGCTTTTCAACGCATCCCCCGCCAGACAGACCCCTTCCAGAGGCCCCGAGGACACCCCTCCACACCCGGCCCTGGATGCCCCGCTGGCAGCTCGGCTCTGGACTTCTGACTCTGGAGCGGGTCAGGGCCCGTGTCCCCCGCAAGCCGCCTCCGTGGAAGGAGCCCTGCAGGAGGCTGGCCCCACACTCACCCGCGGTCATGTTTCTGTTCAGCCCGAAGGTGACCTTCTTGGAGGTGGACGGCATCTTGTCTCGCTGCAAAGGGAGGACAACAGAGGGAATAAGACAGCAACCATGTCGTCCGTTAGGACTGGGGAGGAAGACCGGGTACCCCGTGATGCCTGAACCCCTCAATGTAACAGGAAAAGGCTCGCCATTTCCACGCTAGGACTCCCATTCACCAGGAGCTTTATAGTTTTACGGGTGCACGGAACGATGGGCCCACACACCCAGGACGGGCTCTGGCTTCAAGGGCGGCACATGCGCTTCTCAGTGGTGCCCACACACACTCCTCTAGATAATCTAACAATTCATCAGAATTAGCGGTTTCCTATTTGGGAGATTCCTGGATGTGGCTGCACTCTGCATATGACAAAGCACCCATGTGCTTTTCCATGTGAACCCCGTCACCCTGCCCTGCACCACTTGCTTTCAGACCATAAACGTTTTATAAGAGAAGCCGGATCTGTCTGTGGCATCATCGGCGAGTGTGTCTGAGACTCTGCACGTGTGTGTATTAACACAGCAGCCGTCCCTCTGCTAGTTCCAGCAGGTACCTACACAGCACCCCCTCCTTTCTCAAAACAGCCACTGCCCTGTGGCCTCCTGGCAGGGTGGCCCAGCAGCACCCTCCTGGCGGTAGGCCCTGTCAGCCTCAGTTTGCGCCTCACCCTGTAACCCCATGGGCGCCCGGAGCAGCGCCTGCTCCTTCCCCCACCCTGACCACCCCCGGGGATACTAAGATGAGGCATCACGCGCTGCACTCTCGATTCCCGCGGACCAACCCCTCAGGCCGGCCTAGATCACCGAGAGATGAGCCTGTGCTACCAGGAGGAGGCGAGAGCCCCAGAGCCACCCGGCCCCAGGGGCCCCCAGGGCGGCAGACCAGGGCTCCCTCGACAGGAACCTGCAGGCCCCGGGCAGGAGCAGAGGCCTGGCACACGCAGGCGGCGCGGTCAGGGTCAGGAGGGCGGCAGTGGGGTCACAAACCTGCAGGGCAGGGTGTGCAGAAGTGGCAGTGGCGCTGCTCTTGGCTTTTCTGAAGAACAGCGGCTTTGGTAAGAAGGCAGTGTCGAACCTCACAAAGTCGTTCTCCGTCCTCAGCTGCTGCTTCTTCGAGGGGCCTAAGGCGCCCCCGTCTCCCTGCGTGAGGCGAGGGGAGGTCACACGTGTGTGCAGGGAGGCCACGTGGGGCCCATGGGCCACAGCGTCTCTGGCTCAGACACCCCATGCCCCAGCCCCTCCTGCACCGGGTCTGCAAACACCTCCTGGACACGGCAGGGCGCAGACCTCAGGCACGCGGCACCACGCCGACAGGGCCACAGGGTTCCTAGCTTTTTAGCCACAAGAACCACTTTCATGGATCTTCAAGCTTAGGGCTCCTGAAGATTTCTGCTTTTCAAAGACCACTTGTTAAATAATTGAACGCACTTTCTCATTTCTGACCAAAGACCTCATCGTCCACCAAGAAATTTGGTGCGAGAGAGTGAGCACACCGTTAGGACCTGCAGGTCCACTGTGGGGAGATAGAGGGCCCTCACCGGGGGTTTTACAGCTGCCTGATGCCCCCAGCAAGGCCCCTGCTCTGGTTCTGGGGTCCCAGGGTCTGGAAGCCCAATGTATTAACGTCACACGGCTGGATTCTGCAAGGTCCTGGCGTTCCTGGCCTAGAAGCTGAGGCCTTCCCCCAGGAGAGCCCCCGGTGGTGTGAGCGAGGGGTGGACCCAGGAGGCCTCTCTCACACGCCTTCACCCACCAGCAAGACACCAGGCCCCCTTTGGGAGGAAAAGCTCCCCTGACCCTGCGGCTTATGAGCAATAGTTCCAACGCCAAGGAAGGTTGCTGAGCCTGAGAAATGAGACGCGGAGATTTCCCCTGATGCTCAGTGAAGACAGGGCACCAAATGAACGGGCGTGGAGGCCCAAGGGAAGCGGTACCCGCCGCAGAGGTGCTCGGGGAAGGTCTAAGGTTACAACAGGCTTCCCGGAGCCCAGGGGAGAGCTCCGGGTGCTTCCCCAGCTGAAACCTTTCCTGGCCACAAGCGGACTCAACCACTCAGAGACACCATCAGCTTGGGATGAGCACTTGGCTGAGCGCACATGGGTGCCCGTTACCCACATGTCTGCCCGAGCGGGTGCTGCACGTGGTCAGCAGGCCCGTTTGGGAAGGGCTGGGGAGCAAATACCGGGCGCCCTGGGGTCATGAGGTTTTGTAAGTACTGCTGCCACTGCTGAGGAGGGAAGGCTGCCTGGGCCAGCCCCCACCACCAGCGTGCCTCTGCGTCACGGTTGAACGGTTTGCTGACACTAGTACAGACACGCTGCAGGGCCACAGGCGACGTGGGAAGCAGATCCACAGCCCACTCCTTGCTTAATTGACTCTAGACGTGTAAGCACAGACAGGCTTTTCTTTAAAAAAAATAAGCAAAAAAGAGAAGAAATTTGGCCCTCAAAGGGCCAAAGGTTGGCCGCAGGCGCGTTGATGAAGGAACACCAGAGCAGCGTCTGACGGGGACGCCCGCCTGCCTGTGCATACTGCAGGGGGCCTCAGCTGGGGGACACTCCCAGGCTTCCTGCCAGCCCTCTGCAGCCCCCAGGAAGCAGCCTGGCGGGGTGGGGGATCCAGGATGATGGTCCCGGCCGCCAAGAAGAGGCACCTGTTTATTTCCTCCTGGTCCAGGCTGTTATAAACCAGGGCCGCCCCTCGGCCTGGAGCTCTGGCCTCGCCCTGCCGCCCCTATAGATCGGGGCCTCGGCCGCCCCCCCAGGGGGCTGGCTTACCAGAGCCTGCCTGAGTGTGGCCTCGGACTCCAACACCGCGCCACGCGCTGCCAAGTCAGACGTCTCCTTCACCTTCTTCCTCTTTTTCAAGATGGCAGTTTTCTGACTGGACGGGCTGTGTACGTCGGGGCTGCCGAGCTCTGCCTTCTTTCTCTTCAGCCTCCCGCCCGGAGGTGGGGGCCAGGCCAATGCGGGGGGACCGCTGCCGTTGACCGGGAGGGCTCCGAGTTTCCGCTTCCTCTTCGGGACCGGGGCCCCGCCAGCGGGGGTGGCTCTCGGAGCCGGGTCCTGAGCACGGGCGCTGCAGGGGCCGCCAGGAGCCGCGTCCTCCAGGGGCGGCAGTGCTGTGGACTCCGTGCTCCCGGCCTGGACCCTGGAGCTCTTCTTCTTGGGCCGTTTCCTCCTGCTGTGGGCTGCGGGGGGCCCCGTGCCGCCCTGTTCCTGGGGGCCTGGGGTGGCTGCCGGCCTGGACTCTGCTGCCGGCGTCCTCGGGGCTCTGCTCGCACCGGCCTCCGGCTCGCCACCTCCGTTCTGTTCTGGGGGCATGGCTTCAGCGCCCGGCCCTAAATGTTCAGGCTGGAGGTGGTTCTTCTTCTTCTTCTTCCTTTTCCTCTTCTGAACACTGGCTTCACCCTCCTCTTCCTCAGCAAGAAAGAACTTGTTTCCTAGAAAGACACCCAGGCCCATGAAGGAGCGCCTGACATGGGACTGACTGCTGGCTCTGTCGTCAGGTGCCGTCCTTTCCCTGCCCAGCTGGGACCAGACCCTCCCGATGCTGGTTCCCACAGAGACGGAACTACAGCCACGCTCAGGACTATGCGTCTCCAGGCCCGTGAAAACCATAGCTGCAGGGCAGACACACCACACTTGCTCCAGAGGGCGCAGTCTGTGTAGCAGCCGCTACACCCTCACCTGCTGAAGGTGGCCCCAGAAGGAAACAGGGAGGCTGCGGGTGAGAATCCTTCCTCCTCAGCCACCTGAGCTGAGGCTCTGGCTCTGCCCTGACCCCGGAAGCCCTGTGCCCAGCCTCCCAGCAGTGCAGAGGCGCCCTCCTCCTCCCTCACCCACGTGGAGCTTGGAGGCTCACCTCTCTCTTTTTCCAGCTCGGTTTTCTCTAAAAGTTTATTTCCTTTTTTCTTGTGTCTTCCTCGGTTGAGGGTTTGCTCCTCTTCATCAGCAGAAATGTCCTCGGCAAAAGTGAGCTGAGATATACTGCCTGCTGGACACCAAAACCGCATCCAGTCAGCTTTCTGAAATGGCACGACTCTGTCCCCACCTCACACTGGCATTCTCCACCCTGACTTCTGCAACCTTGCTACCTTCCCAACCCAAATCTGCGGTGGATGCAGGAACTGTACCCCATGGGGGACACCCTGACAGCACGCCCCCTGGGGCTCAGCAGCCCACAGGCATACATGGGGAGCAGGGTGTGCTGGCTTGCTCACATGTCCCTGGCTACGGACAACAGCTTTTCCCTTGGGGCACACCTGACCATGATGGCAAAGGAAAGGGAGCCTGAGAGGTCAACTCTTTTCTTCCTAAAGAATCGAACTGGTATCTTCCTAAAACGACGATGACCCCTCAGCCCAGTCTACCCCCTTCCCTGGCGCAGAGGCCTCCCACAAGCTCTGCCCAGCTGACGGCCTTCACAGGTAAAGGCTGTCTTATGTTCCCAATGTCTCTTAATCCTGTTTGTCAGTATTTGCCGTAAGTGCCTCAGTTGGGCCATGTTCATGTAACATCACCAGCTGTAATCCTGATGCCCTCACCTTCAGAAAGATCCTGGAACCTGAAACAGAGAATAAAAGTCCCTGAAAAAAACCTCTTCTTTGTGTGTTCTGTAAACACACACACACACACACACACACCAGTTTTCAGATGTGCTACTTGGGTGTGTGTTAGTTCACTTTCTTTTCCTTCTAGGAGGGGAGGCTAACGGTGGTGTGATATGAAGGCTTGAAGTGAAGGACGCGTTGCTCTCAAGGACGTGGCGATCTAGAGCGTCCACTGTGGTTCGTTCATGTGTAACAGAAGAAATTAAAACTTTTCTCAAGGCCAAAGCAGCCCATGTCTCTGCTTATGTCCCACTGTCCTCTCTGCTCACCTGGTGGAGAAGCACCCCATGCAGTGCTAGGTGGGGGGCAGAGCACCAGGGGAGCCAACAGCAGGTCCAGCTCAGCTCTGTCACCTGCCAGCGGGGACCTCGGGCAAGCCTCGTGCCCTGGCTGAGCCATCAGTGAGGTGGGACATTAGAAAAGCCTTGCAGGGCTTCTCCTCACAGGAACTAACTTATGTCAAGTGCTCGGAGGAAAGCCTGCTCACACACTGGGTGTTCAGTTTCTGGTCACCAACCGCGAGAAGCCAGGGTGCTCTGCGCTCAATGAGTGGTGTGGCAGACCGGCACGGGCGTGACCACAGTGGGAGGTGAGGGAGCCGACAACACTCAGTGGGACCCTTACGCGGCAATCGCTGGCGGTATGAACGGCCGTTACTGATGTGCTGCTGCTGCCCCACGAGGACGTGGTGGCCAGAGTTGAGTTTAGGGGCATGTGAAGCATACACGTGCGGGTAGGGGAGCAGCTGTTCCACGAAACCTTCCTGCTGCTGTGTGCACGCCCAGGCTACGGCTAGACGTGATGAGGGCCGGGGACACAGCCTCCACTGCGAGAGTCCACAGACTGCGCCCACAGCCACTTACTTTTTGATGAGTTTGGAGAGACGCTTCCTGTTGAAGGGTGGGATGTTTTTCCTGTTGGTGATCTCCAGGAGCCGGTCCGCAACAGCCTTGTAGTCGAACTGCGCGAGAACAACAAAACGTAAGCCCGCAGCCAAGCCACACTGACTTAGAAAGTCACTTCCACAGGTGACGGCAACCAGCGGTGTGGGCTCCCAGGCACGTTCGGCAGCAGGCTGGTGGAACAAGGGAGTGCTGAGACTCAGTGACCAAAAGGTTCAGTGCGATCTCTGAGAAGCCTGTTCTATTTGTTCTTGGGGGATGCTATTCTTCATCCATCCTGTTTATTCTTTCTTTAAAGAAAAACTGTGGTAGAACACAGCACAGAGTTGGCCTGGGTGTGGCTCTCTGGAAGTGTGATCTAGAAGCTGACCTGTGCTTGGTAACACAGTCACCTTTACTGGAAAAGCGCTGAGCTGCCTTTGTCGTAGGGAGCGCATGGATCCTAACAGCGCACGCCGGGATGAAGACTGACAGCTTTCAAAACTCTGTCACGTTTAAATGTGCCTCCAGTAAGCTCATCGTAAGGAAGGTGACGTCAGCGAGCAAAGGGATTAAAGACGACGGGAGCCGCGGGCCTGGGGATAACGCACTCTGACCCTAATTCCCACTTAGCCAGGCCACTGCACAGCCAGTCTGTTCTACCAACCTGGAGCAGGGGCCCAGCGTCCTCCAGGCGCCCACCGCCTCTCTCCCCGTCGCCGTGGACCCCGTCCTCTCTGCAGTGCTGCTTGCCCAGCGCTATTGAAACACACCCAGAGACAGAGCTCTTTAAACACAGTCACTACTTCCAGAGGAGCCACTGTCTCAGTGTCTCTTCAAAGAGAAAACCCCTGCAAATACATGTCATCTTCCAAAGCAGTTTTGTTAAAATAAATCCCACAGAAATCACACATTTTGCCTTTTAATTACATCACAGACAAGACCTCTGCTGCCCTCAGCGCCCTCCGGCGAGCTTTGCCTTCCGTTAACACTGGCGGCGGGGGACGGGAGGCCCTGGGCTGGAGGCCGGGCGAGCGGAGCAGAGCTCACTCAGGAGTCTGTCCCGGCTTCGGGAAAACTTGAGGCCGGGGTAGAAATCTATGCAGATAACACACTCACGTCTCAGGGGGCTGTCGCAGCAGACACAAGTTAATGCTAATACAACTATTAACACTTAGAAAATAATTCAAAGAGCACTAATGCCCATGAAGAAGCAGATAAAACTACCAAGGAAAACTCACAACTTTTCAAATCTTATCTGCTTGTTAGTGGTGGGGCCTCTGGGCACAGCCTCGAGAAGACGCAGCAGAGCCCTGCATGCATGTGCAGGTCCAGGGCCACAAGCACGACAAAAGGAGCTGGGAGAGGGTGGCTGGTTGAGACAAAGGCCGGGCGCGCAGGAGGGAGTGGGGACAGCCCCCACGACTGCATGAAACCTGCTCAGGGTCAGCTGGTTAATTCATCTACAGCGAATTTAAGATAAAAGATTTTCTTCTTTTGAAAAGAATTATTTTTCCAGTTAAGGAATAACACATGATTGCTGTAGAAAATTTAGGACAGAAGTACAAAGCAGAAGTCACCCATTAACTCTGCTTCACGCAGCCCACTATTAACATTTTGATATCCTTCCAGATTTTTGAAGGCACATACCAAACCAGGCTCCATAGACTTTTGGGTCTAGTTATAAAAAAATGTTTAATTAAATTTCCTCTGGCCACTAATTTTTGAAATCTTTGCTTTTTAACGTCTGTGTGACATTTTAAAAGCATGCGCACACCCGGACTTGAACGTTTACCTAATGCTGAGCCCTGAAATGCTGTAAACCACTGCTGGGGTGGGAGGGGTCTGCAACTGGAAATGTGGGCTCCACATGCAGTCCCTACGGGCTAAGACTGGCCCCCGCCATCGCAGCCCACAGCGGGTGTTACTCACCCAAAGAGGGACCCAGAGATCAGGAGGCAGCGCTATGGAAATAAGCGTGTGTTCGCCATGTGAGCACCAAGGACCCTCTTGGAGATACAAGTCCACATCAGGATGTTTAAATACATTAAGAATCCAAACAACAAAAATAAACAAAAGCCAAAGCAAGAGCAATGGTAAAGTGAAACCCTAGAGGGACTCCCGTGACCCTGGGAGGCAGCACATGCACGCCGCGGAGGGCTCCTGTGTGTCAGCGCCCCTTGGCTTCTCTTCTCGGGGAGCTCACGGCAGGGCTCCCTTTGATGAGGTCTTAGGTTATCTCAGTGAGACTCCAATGTATGTACTAAAGTGTTCACCTGAGGAGAACTTTATCTAAAAAGACAGACTGTTCAAGGGAATCATCTTACCAGGCTTCTTTTTACTGACTGGTTTTCTCCACGCCACCTCGTTTTCAGGCATCTCATCTTCGGAGAACTCGTTCTCCCCCCCTTGGGCTTTCTGTTCCTCGAGGGTCTCTTCTGGTCCGAAAGGAGACTGGTCTACGATGACTTCCAGCACACCCCTAGCTATAGTCTGTACCAGTGTCTGGCTGGGGGTAGAAGTACAGCAGAGAGAAGGTGATGACAACAGAAGACCTGGTCATTTAGCAGAGGTGATGGGGCACATGGTGCACGGCCCACTCTAGCCTCCCCAGGGCACAATGTGGCCCATCGCCCGGCCCACAGTGTTGGCTCTCCTGACCACACTCCCACGCCAGCCGGCTGTGGCTGTGCAGAGCCAGTGGAGCGCCGCATGCTGAAGGCAGACAGAACTGCGACTGTGTGGGGGGGGTGTGTCTCCTGAAGGTCTGTGGTCAAGTCAGCAGAGCACGGGTAGGACTCAAAGCATCACAAGTCTTGCTAACAGAAATTCAGAGTTCAGCTGTTCCGGGGTTTGGCTAAACTATCACAGGTGTCTTGCATCAAGCCTCTCAACAATTTACCCACAATTAAGGACCAAATGAAGCAGCGAAAAACAAGCATGGGATTCACTTACTCCTTAGTTTTGGCAGCAATTTTGCAGAATGGATCAATAAATTGGAGATTCTGATCTGCCAAAAGCTGAAATTTAGGAACAAAACACAATTTTTTGGTATGTCCTAGAAAAAGGAGCCGTTCACATTTTTCACATAGGGTTAGATCAGGGAAACACCTGTCAATGCTGAAAACGCACTCTGTGTGAACTGCCCAGATGCTCGGAGCCAGCTCATGGCCATCTTCCAGCCACATGGGCATCAAAGTGCAATGACCAGAGAAAACCACCCCACTAACCCATGCTGTTCTGCATTCCCTGCTCTAGAGACAGGTTCAATCGACAGAGATATTGTCAGAAACTGTAAGATGAAATAACAAAAAATCATTATGGTGAGTGTGTCCTTGCGTTACTATTGGACTGTGTCAGTTGCTTTCAATTGTTTTATAAGCAGGACTTCAAGAACATCCTTAGTGCACAATCTTTGTTCACGTGTCCTATTAGCTGCTTAGGACACATTCCCAGATGGGGAAGGATTTGTCAAAAGACAGGTTGAGCCAATTTATGCTGCTCCTGTCGCTGGTAAGGCCGGTGCTGACCACAGCGCTTTCTCCCCAGCTCCAGGAACATGCGGAGAACCAGAGTCCCCGGTCAGGTCCGCTGTGGTCTCATTACACCCCGGGCCTGATGTCTCACTGCTTCTTACCTCTTTCCCTCCCACTTTGGATAGTTCATCCAGATAAATATCAATGAAGTGGAACTTCACTCCATTAGGAGACTGGCTCTCAGGATGCAGGATTTCTTTCATCAGGACATCCAGGAAGAGCTTGATTCGGCTGAAGAAAACAACACACGCGGTCCTATTAACTGCAGCATATGCCAGCTCTTCCTTCCCTCTTCCCCCAAAGAAAACAGTCACGTCTGTTCTTGTGCTACAATGTGTAACAGTGCAAGGCTGAGAACGTGCTAGGAGGGAAAAGCAATCCCTGGAATCGGTATAAACACGCATGTGCCCCCACGCCCTCAGGAGCCTCTCCTGGGCTTCGTGTTCTTCACGCCTAAGGAGGTTCTGCGTCTCAGTCGACGGAGGGGAAGGCAGAAATCACGCCACTCCTACTAGCTCGCTAACTGGAACGCCTGAAAGTCACACTATCCCTTTCAACATTTTAAAGCCACCAAATGCTTACCCCAATACTTTACCAACCTTTCTTCCCAGCCATGTCGCTTGAGAACTTCAAAGGACTGCCTCAGGACCAGGCGGATCAGCTAAAGATAGACAACTTTTGTTACCAAAGGGAAAGTAAGAAATGCCGGTCAGTCAGCAGACTGAAGAGACCAACGAAATCGGTTACAGCCTGCGTCTCCAAAGTGAAAACACAGTCACAGTCATCTCATTGAACTTTTCACCAGGAAGTGTTAACTAAGGATCCCCAGACTCACCCCCAGCAGCTGAAAGAGAAAACAGAGCGGCCTGCGAGACCTAGTCGAACGCCGTCCCGTGATCCCGCTACCTCTCGCCACACTAAGCCTGAGGCTTGCTCTGCTTCACAGATAAGCCCTCCCACTGCTCTCAAGAAGCTCAACATCCTTCCTTTACAGGCTTCGGAAGCGCACTGGGGGAAGGGCCTTCAGATCTTACCATATAATATTTGCCCAGGCGCAGCCGGTCTATCCCCTTCCACTCTCGATTCATTGTTTGCCAAAAGGTTTGAATGAACAGGTGTTCTGCAGTGAACAAAAGCTTTTGAATACTTGGTTTTCAGATTCACATATTGCCATAAAGCAAGAAAGTAACAAAGGGAAAAAACTAGGATTATTGATTGTTTACTTTTTTCCAAGAATTTTTTGGCAGCTAGAAAATTTGGTCCATAATTAAATATGCTCAGTAATTTTTTTTCCATTCCCACAAAAGCCTATTATAACAGGAAGGCTGATAATATCTTGATATTCAACTGTAATGCTCTATGAAGCATTTTTCTTTATCCACTGCAAAGCCTTGTTTCTATTAAAATCAAAAATTCTCTGAGCCACATCCATGGGCCCTTTCCGCCCACCTACACCTAACAATCAATCCAAAGCCATTAATTTTGATGAACACTTGGATGATCCGCATAGAAACTCAGCTTTTTGTTTCATGTTCCATGTCAGCTGGTTGAGCTCTAATAAAACATTCTATTTTTCTCTTCTGAGCCACGAATCTACCACTTTTCCATCCAAAAATAACTGTTGGATTTTTTGGTTTTACTTCTTTTTGCACAATTCTTTCTTGATATCTGAAAACCTAGATAATATTCCATGTGTAGAATTCTGCTCATTATGGGTCAGCTGGGACCCGGCTGAAACACAGAGCCACTGGGGTTTCTAAGGCCAGTGGGATGGCTCTGCTCTGAAGTGCGCTAAGCAGATCCAACCAATTCTGCTCTTTTTCTTCCTTTGTCAGCACAATCAAAACCTGAATGTTTCAGAAATAATTCATTTTCTCCCTTTGTTTTTTTTTTGGTTAAAAAGTCTTACTTTATGGCTTACTACCAGTGATACCCTTATGTGGCTCCAGTCTTCAGGATGTCCTGGTACCCAGAGGTGATAGCAAACAGTGGCATATGCATGCCCAGGCTCTGAGTTTTATTTTTATTTTTAAAAATGATTTATTTACTCATGAGAGACACAGAGAGAGGCAGAGACAGGAGAAACAGGCTCCATGCAAGAAGCCCGATATGGGACTCGATTCCAGGACTCCAGCATCACACCCTGGGCTGAAGGCAGATGCCCAACTACTGAGCCACCCAGGCGTCCCACCTCTGAGTTTTATTAAAGCAACTCAAAATGTGGAGACTCAGGAGATTTTCATTTCTTTAAAAAATGTATACATATATATATTCATTTATTTTTGAAATCTTTCAGAGGTCACACAATACTGCACAATATGCCTCTTTCATTGGCCCTCTTTTGGGGTCAACATCTAAGCTCTTCATGGCTTTCTCACAGGGAAGGTCTGTCGCCCGACATCTACACCCTGGCAGCCCTGGGCACAAGTTCAACAAGCCCCCTGGAAAGAGGAAACTCTGAAGGAAGAACAAACAATATTGCCTAGTTTCCTATGCAAGTTACCCAAGCTGATGAATGAGGAAGTTCTGAAAGTTATGAAAACATCAGGACTTACGGGCCTCTGAGTTGTTAACAACGTGGACGAGTTGGGAAATAGTGTTCGCTAGCTCCTCCTGCAAAGGTGGGGTCAGGGAGAGACAGCAGGGTTATTACGCAGCAGCACCGGATGTCACAGCATCTGCTGGGGTCTGGGCCTCTTGTTACATCACTGTTTAAGTTTTAGCAAATGCGAAACTCCCAATCTCAGTGGACTATTGTGCCAACGTAATAATGCCTCTGAGGATCACGCTGTAGGTTTAAGAAAGTATCTCTAGTTTCAGTTCAAATGACCTACAGAAATAAACTGTCAATTCTTGGCTTTAAAAGTACATAGCTGGGAAAAAAAAACGTAACTGACGTGGACATCCTACCCTAGGCCACCAAATTCTGGCATACAGATGGCAGCAAGGGGATCCCTGGTGGTTAGATGTGGGGACTGTCACTCCTCAGGGGTGTGTGTGGAACCAGAAAGTCCCATCCTAGGCTCACTCGCTTGGAGCCAGGCCGTGATGGGGGGTGTGTGTGCAGGGGGTGGGCCAGAAGCAAGGTCAATGGCACCCATCCAGGCTCTGTCCAGGGCAAAAGGGCCATGGGAAGAATAAGTCCTGCTACAATGCAGCAAGATCACTGGTGGGGAGAATTTGGTGGTCTGGGTCTAAGAAGAGACCTGCCCTGGGAAGTGTCAATAGAATCCTGTTCACAAGTGACATAAAAAAAGAACAGCCATCCTTGGTATGACTTGCATTTACTTTACCTGGGCTCACGTCTTCCTCACCCATTTTAAATGAAAATGATGCCCCTGTTCATCTGTTTTCTTCCTCCACTAAAGCTGTCGTTTGGTTTGTTACTTTTGAATGTAACTTAAAAATATTTTGCCCTGCTGTCCTACTCAAAATATGTTCAGTGAAGTAAAAGCAATAAATCAAAGCAGGCTATTACATGGCTTGGGGAAAGTGGTAAAGTTGCACACCAAAATCCAGACAAGTAAAATCTATAATCTTTTACGTATCGAAGGGCTTCAAATAGCGTTCCTCAAGGCTTACTCTCCACTTCGACATTGGCAGGTTTGCTTTTATGCACTAGAACAAAGCTCTGTAGACAGCGAAAGTCATTTTCTTAAATTGTTTTGGTGGTGGGGTTCAGCATGCTCGGCAGATGGGTCTAGAAGCACATGCACATCTGTGCCAAGTCTCCCGTTGACTCTAAGGGTAGAGGTTGTCAGAGGCAGGTCCACTGCTTGCTCTACTAGGCTCCCGACCCTCAGCAGGGTGACTCCCCAGTCACGGCAGCCGTTCAGATCATGCCAGAGGTAGGCTCGGAGCCCAGGGCTCTTTGACTAGAGCCATGACATTACTGACCACAAATAATAACATACTAAACAGAAGCTTCAAAATATGTAAAATCTTCCACAGAACCAACCTATGAAAATATGACAGAGAAACAAGAAACTTCTAATTTATGCCTCTTCTTCGTTATCTGAAAAGATAACTTCTCTGCTTGGTCACTGTATATCCCTTTCTGATGGACAAGAGGCAGGCAACTGAGCCCTGAGCAGCGACTTCAATTTGTTTACGTGCACAGGAGACAGACACATAAAACGAGCAAGCCCTTTTTATCCATCTGGGCCAAAGCACCAGTCATCTGACAAAGGGAACTGTATGTTACCTGTAGGAGGGGTTCGTCCTGCACCCACATGCAGTAGAAGAGCCCTTTCCATATTTTTAGAAGTTCTTCTTGACTGAAACCTCCTAGAGGACAAAACAGCACAGACATCTTACTTTAGAGTCCTCACATATCCTGTTGCAGGGTCTAGAACTACCACGTGACAGGAACAACACCACAAACATCTTCATTCTCTCACCCACTTTTTTTTTTTTTTTAATTTGAAGCATACACTTCCTTGTGGTACAAAATAAACACATATAGATCACGTAGTTTTATCATCTATGGTGCAGGTGGTAGTGGTGGCGTGTCCTCACCATCTGAGGAGTGTAAGGAAGTACATGTCATTACAACAAAATTATTAATGAGGTAGTCATTTATAAAAATAGCTCCCTCTGTGTGCTCCTCTCTGCCAAATCTAGCATATCACTCTGCATACCAACATTTGCATTATTCTTACAAAATGAAATTGCAAATCCTACAAAAGATACAGGATTTGCTTAAGTCCCATACAACTGGCAGAGCTTTCGAGATATTTTTGCAAAGATAACCTCCCACCGCTTTTTAGAGATTTTATTTATTTGAGAAAAAGAGTGTGCGACAGAGAGCATGAGCCAGGGGGAAGGACAGAGGGAGAAGCAGACTCCCCACTGAGCAGGGAGCCTGATGCAGGGCTTGATCCCAGGACCCTGAGATCACAACCTGAGCAGATGCTTAACTAACTGAGCCACCCAGGTGCCCTTGCAAAAATATTGTTTTAAAGATCCTGGCAAGAAGTCAAACTTGGCTATATCTGGATTTCTTTCCCTTCTGGTTATAGTTTTCATTTCCTGGGCAATATTAGCTTTGTTTTAAGTGACATCACCTTGGTTAGCCTCGTTTGGACTCCTTTTTAAGCCCTGTACTACCTCCGACTAAGCCACAAGTCATGCACAGCCTTCTAGCTCCTGGGCAGACCCCAGATGTCATAATTGCTGAGTGACATATGGGATCTCAAAAGCCAGGTGAGTATACATTCTTGGAGTTTCCAAGTCGATGGAGAACAAACAACCCTTGAGTCTTGGTGCATGTTACAAATGGTCTGTGTTAATACTTCATCAGGGGGTACTAGGAAAAATCTTTTGGAATATCAAGGAAGGACAAACTAGGTGAATGCATACAAGTACGTATACACTGGGCATCAATGTAATTTCAATATACCAAAAATAATTAAAAGGTGGCAAACAGATCCTTTTTGATGTATTGAAGTGTAGTGTATTCAGAGTGAGAGTGAACCTTTAGAGGTATATAGGTATTGACTTCCAAGTTACCAAAGACCTTTTTCATATCAACAATTTTATTACGGTGCATTTTGATTGTTAGTTTCTACTTAAAACCAGTATGCTAAAGAGTAAAATTTATTAAAATGCATTTCCTTTAAGAGTTGGGCAAACCTCATGGCATGGCAACGGGCTCCCCCAACCCTCGGGCACCTTGTTATAAGCCACACCTTGGGGGCCTAGCTATTGCTAGCACAGCTACAGTGAGTGATAAATTCCCCTGGAGCTGAGACAACTGCAATCAGGACCACAGTAACTTTGTCAAAGTGACCTGTGTTTATATTCAATCATGCTAAGACTAATGAAGAATTAGGGACGCCTGGGTGGCTCAGTGGTTGAGCATCTGCCTTCAGCTCTGGGCACGATCCCGGTCCCAGAATCGAGTCCAGCATCAGGGTCCCTGAGAGGAGCCTGCTTTTCCCTCTGCCTGTGTCTCTGTGTGGCTCTCATGAATAAATAAAATCTTAAAAAAATAAAAGACTACTGAGTTAGTGAGCAGGGCAAGGATCACCCATGGCTGGCTGGGAAAACATCGGATGAAAAATATATGGGGGGAACTTAGAATGGATAAATCAGATGTCGGTAACACCCGAACCTACTGATCCACCTTAGCTTGCAGAGTCACCTATCAATAGGAAGACCACAGCACCACCTGCTAAGTATTCTTACAAAAACCAAAACTAACTGACATGTCAAATCTGACTATTAACCAGTTTGTGGGGAAACACAGGGGACAGAGGAATATGTCAGGTGAGACCACGGGATACAGTCACCAGGGCAAATGGCTCGTTCCAGCAACAAGTAAACAGCAAAGGGAAAAGATAGGAACGGCAGACAGACCAACTGAATGCAACGGCTGCCTCTTGCTTGGATTCTGATGTGTCACAAATTCACAAAATGATGGGAAAACTCAATGGATTAGTTATTTCACGTGAAGCAACTTTAAAAAAAGGTACGATAATGGTACTGTGGTGATGTTAAAAAGAGCCCGTCTTCTGGGGCTCCATAATGAGGTGCGTGGAGATGTCAGTGGGAGGCGGATGTGGACAAATGGGACAGACCAGGCAGGTACTAACTGGTCCTGAAGCGGAGTACTGAGTACTCTATTTATCTGAAAGGTAAAAAGTACTGCACAAGGTCACTAAGGTGTTATCAAGGGCCGTTTTTGTTCTTCCATTTGTGTAGAAAGCTCTTCATAACGAAACTAGAAAACCAGAACGCCGGCCAACTTAACAGCAAACAGGATTGGATGACGCTGTTTCCTGTGTAAGGCCTGGCGCTGGGCAGTCCCGGGGTCTGCGGCCCCCTCCAGCGCTCCCCCCTTCTAGGCAGGGCTCGGGGAGGGAGACAGTGGTCTGTGTGGGGCTCGGCCCACCGAAAGGGGAGCCAGCAAGCTGCACTTATGTCGAATACGCATGAATTCCCTCAGCTACAGGGCTGCTGCCAGGCTGGACAGATGACCCCATCTCAGAGGCTCTTGCTCTCGCCAGCAGCCTTGAAGAGGACGTAGTGTGCACCTGCACTCGGCCACCTCACCAGCTGCTGGGGAGCCTGTGTGAGAAGGGAGCCCATCTAGAGGAGCCAGGTTTGCCATGAAGAAAAAGAGTCTGGTGCCATCAGCTGAGCTCCTTCATGAAGCTGTGCTTTGGTTTTTCCCCTTAAAACTGGTCTGGCTGGGCAGCCTGGGTGGCTCAGCGGTTTAGCACCGCCTTCAGCCCAGGGTGTGATCCTGGAGTCCCGGGATCGAGTCCCATGTTGGGCTCCCTGCATGGGGCCTGCTTCTCCCTCTGCCTGTGTCTCTGCCTCTCTGTGTGTGTCTCATGAATAAATAAAAAAAAATAAAAATAAAAAAAACAAACAAACAAACAAACAAAAAGACTGGTCTGGCTTAGGGGCACTTGGGCATCTTTACAGATCCGTCCTGTGCTTTGACATAATGCTTACATATAGTCCAGACACACACAGACACATAGCTGTGTGTGTGCAACCTAGATAGCGTCGCAGGTTCTACACATTCCACGTTCTGGCCCTTTTCACTTAAAAGCAGCACAGCGTATATTTCCAGATGGTTCTAAGAGCACTAGTGTGTCACACCAACTCTAAGTGATACTGTGACATACCAAGTATCTGTGGTTACCCCACACCTGTAATGTGCAAAGGTGCAAAGGATATGTATGCTAGAGAGGTTTATGTAATGGAAAACTATGGATTTCAACAGTCACAGGGTGACAGTAGCTCCTAGGCAGTGCGCAGGAAAGGGGGTCAGGTGTGAAAACAGATTGCTTCTTCCTAAGCGAGGCAGCAGAGTGCAGAGGACACAAACCCATGGCCAGGCCCCAGCTCGCTACTTGTTAGCCGTGCTATGTAGAAAACCATCAGCTAGCCCCTGGGCCTGTTCTCTCACCTATGATATGTGTACGGTTTAGGGTCACAGTCAAAATTAAAGGCATGTACGAGAAGCACTTTGTAAGAGTAAAGCGCTTTTCAGTGCTATTGGTAGGTAGTATGATTTTCTCGTGTTCTCCACCCACAGGCTGCTGAAGCTCTCTCCCCTTTTAAGACACATATTTTCAATATATGTATAAAAATCACTTGTTTTCGCCCAGGAATTTAGTTTTTATTTAAGACTTGAAAAAAATAAATTTAGAACTTTTATTTATTAAGTACTTTCTACCCTCATGAGGCTCAAACTCACTACCCCAGGATCGAGTCCCTGGCTCCACTGACAGCCCCAGGCACCCCCCATTTTTTGTAAACTGACTTACAGCCGACACTCAAGTGTTACATCAGTGTCAGGTGCTCACCCCAAGTGGAGCTACCATGTGTCACCCACACGACACTGTTACACTACCATGGCCTATATTCTCTACACCACTGTACCTTTCATCCCATGACTTACTCATTCCATCACTGGGGGCCTAACGTACCCATTTTTGAAGGCTTTAAAGTGAAACAGAGAAATGCTCATTTAATTTCCTCTCACTCTGAGGGTGAAGTATGTACCTGAAGCAGGTTCAGCCCTCGGGGGCTTTTTGTTCTGTCTTCTTGGGGTTGACTTCCTAAACCAATGCCACCAGGTTTCTGGCAACAATATAGGTTTAGTTATTTCACAGCAAATGGGGGCGAACATGAAGTGAGACATGGGCAGAGTAAATTTCAACAAACTGTGAAATGAGAAAACCCTGACTGCTACTCTCGGGATGAAATGAGCTCAGGAGCATTTTAGGTTGGGGTGAGTCCACACCTGGTCAGTCAAAACACCTGCAGCTCTCATCTATTCTACCTACAAGGGGCCAGGGACCCCTAAGCCTGTTAGTATGAAGAAATACTTCCTCCAATACTGAATCTGAAGCCCCATCAGCCGTAAGATGTACGGTTCTCTTATGTGGCACCAAATGAGAGCAAGAGGGCACAAGGTTGATTTTAAGATCCATCCCAGTTTCTGCAGGTGTTACATGTTTACAGTTGCAGAATCAATAAAGCCGGGTGTGTGTGTGTGTGTGTGTGTGTCTGTTTTTCATTCGCTGCTCTATTATTCCCAGTGCCAACAACAGTAAGAGCACACAGTAGGTGCTCTGTGTTTGCTGAAGACGTGAATGAACGGTACAAATGAGCTCTCATGGGTAAAACCATAGATAGCGATCATTCTGTACGTGCTCTGTGTGAAGTTACAACACCAGAGCTTCATTTAGCTGCTTTAAGCACTACAAAAGTTCCCTATTTGTTTACAAACCTTCTGGGGTTCCTGGCTGCCCCAGTCAGTGGAGCATCTGCCTCCTGATCTTGGGATCGTGAGTTCCAGCCCCATGTTGGGTGTAGAGATTATTTTTTTTTTTAATTTTTTATTAAGTAAGCTCCATGCCTAGTGTGGAGCCAGGGTGGGGCTTGAACTCATGACCCTAAGTTTGAGACCTGAGGGGAGATCAAGAGTCAGATGCTCAACCGATAGAGTCACCCATGTGCCCCAAGATCACTTAAAACAAAAAAACAAACCCCCACAAAGTTATTTATGTTGCTGGTGGGCAGCTCTTCATACCAGTAAGACTAAGATTTCAGATTTCCTTTACTACACACGAAACAAAACACAACAAACCGTGAGCCTGTCAAGGAGACACACACATCAGGTCAAATTACTCCCCAACTTGCATTTCAGGGCCACGGGGGACAGTGGCAGCAGAGGCCCGGCTTATTATGTCTCACTGTCACCGTCTGTGACATTCACCATGCAGTTCCTTCTTCAGAGGCCCAGCATACTCCATGCAACGTGGGCGTGGTGGTGAACAAGATAGATAGTCTCTCTTGGCATGATGGGCACTGACCAAACAGGACCTGGGGGCACTGGTGCAGACCCAGTGGCCTCATGCCCATGTCCCTGCAGATCCTGGGCCCGCTCATCAAGCTCTGTTTGGCCATCTCAGCCCATATGTACTGCATCTGGCCTTTCTTGTGTTCTTGTGTGGAGGCAAGCCCGGTATGCCTGGATGTGCTCCCACTTCCAGCTAAGCAGACAGACGGAAGTTTAGACTGTTTGGGGAAGAGTGATACAGTAACAGAGAACTAAGAAGCCACACAGCTAAGTGCCATGACAGACACACACTGGATATTTTGGAATCCTGGAGGGGTGGTGTGAGATGGTAGGGAAGGCACTTGGAGGAAGTGATGTTGAACTGAATGCTAGGAGTGCACAAGAGAAGCAAAGGCGGAGAGGAGAGAAACGATGCATGTATACCAAGAGTCAGCCGAAGTGGCAAGAGAAGGGAGGACAGACCATTGCCTGCAGACCTGGAAATCCAAGAAGGTGGTGACGTGATCAGAACCATTTTTAGAAGATGACCCGGGCTGGTTTGTGAACGATAAGTTCAATAGAGGGTCAAATGGACTTAAAGAGATTGGCTAGGAAATAAGCAAGTTCAGAGTCTAGATGAGATAAACGGTGAGGGCAGAGAAACTCAGCAGATGAAACAGGTAGAAGCAGCAAGAGACCATGGATGAGGGGTGGAGGAGAAGACCGGGAAGAGCCATCCAGGACATTACGGTGCGTCCAGCCTGGCTCTGAGGGGAGGGCGGGAACTAGCACCTAAGATGAGAGAACACAGGCGGCAAAAGTGAAGCAAGAGAGAACAGGTTTTAGGGGGGGAGGAGAATGAATCACGTTGGGGCATTCGAGTCTGGGGTGCCCATGGGGGACACCCAGGTGGAAGCGCCTTGTCCGTGCATCCTATCTGCGCCGGGAGCAGCCAGGTCTGCTCTGGCAACTCGAGCACTCGGGACTCGAAGCCGTGAATAATAAACGTCGCCTCTCGGCGAGATCCCTAAGCAGAACGGAAGTCAGGAATCTGGTCTTCCCTCCTTTCTGGGGCACGTCCCACAGAACTGTATTTTCTTTTTCCCGGGGTGGTCCTTTTCCATCTCTCCTCAAAACGAATCGAACTGAGAAAATCAGTACAGAGACGGATAACGCCTGTCCTTTCTTTCTTTTAGGTTATTTACTGATTCATGAGAAAGGCAGAGACGTGGAGGGAGAAGCAGGCTCCCTGCGGGGGAGCCCATGCGGGGCTGGATCCCAGGACCCCGGGGTCACTGGATCCCAGTGGTGGGGGTGGGATGGGGGTGTCCCAATACCTGTTCTGTCGAGTACACTCGCAAGGCAGTAGTGTTAGCAGTCAACACATCAAAATTAATCCGAGCGCAGCGCAGAGCCTCCGCCGTGGGCGGTGGTCCGCACCCCCGGGGGCTGCAGGGCATGTCGGGGCCCGGGAGCCTCGGGCTGCAGCCCCGACGGCCTGGAGCGCAGCGCGGCCCCGCACCCGCACCCGCTCCCGCTCCGCTCGCCACCGCAGAGGCCTTCCCGGACCCGCTCCCCATCCCCTCCCCGCCCTCTGGACCTCCCCGAGCCCCCCCCCCCGTCCACCGGCGCCCCCCGGAGGTCGGGTCCGTCCGTCCGTCCGTCCCCCCCCCCCGCCCCCTCGTCCGGGCGAGCGCGGCGCAAACCCCCGGCGGGCGCCCCCCCCCCCCCCGCCGCCATGTGGCGCCGCTGCCCGCCCGGCGCCCACCTGTCTCCCTCTGCGTCTTCACGCTGATGTACTGGCGCAGCTTCCTCACCGCGCGGTCCCGGATGCCCTTCTCGTGAGACGCCAGCCGCTGGGCGAACTGCAGCTCGGCCGGCTGCATGGCGGGGGCCATCGCGCCCGCTGGACCATCCCCCGCCGCCGCCGCCGCCGAGCAGCTCGGGGCCGCGCCTGCGCAGAAGGCGGCGGGGCGGGGCCGGGGCGGCGCGCGCACTGATGGCGTCACAAAGGCGCCGGGTCGGGCGCCGCCGCTCGCAGCGCGTCCCGGGGGCGAGGGCGGCCCGCGGCGGTTCGGCCTCGGCTGGCGGGCGTCGCGGCAGCCGGCGTCTGGCGGCGAGGTTAGCGAGCGCCGGGTCTCCGCCTGGAGGGGACGGCTGGGCGCGGAGGCGGCCCCGAGCCTTCAGGCCCGCTCCGCGGGAGCTCCGTGCGCCGGGCGGTCACCCGCCGAGCCCCTGCGTCCGCGTGCTGGGCGCCGGACCGAGACGGACGGCAGTCCGGGGGCTGCGGGCGGGATGCTGCGGGCGGGATGCTGCGGGCGGGATGCTGCGGGCGTTAGGGGCGCCCTGAGGGGCCGGGTCTGAGCCCCTGCTGGCCTCGGAGCCAGCGCCCCCCAGCGCCCCAGTGTCGGGGCCCGGGGCAGATCCCAGTGCAGAGGATGCTTGGGGGCAGGGGCAGGGGCAGGTCCTGGCGCAGGGGTGGCAGGGTCAAGGTCAGGTCCCGGTGCAGGGCATGGCAGGGTCAGGGTCAGGTCCGGTGCAGGGGAGGCAGGGTCAGGGTCAGGTCCTGGGTCAGGGGATAGCAGGGTCAGGGTCAAGTCCCAGTGCAGGGCATGGCAGGGTCAGGGTCAGGGTCAGGTCCCGGTGCAGGGGTGGCAGGGTCAGGGTCAGGTCCCGGTGCAGGGTGGCAGGGTCAGGTCAGGTCACAGTGCAGGGATGGCAGGGTCAGGTCAGGTTCCAGTGCAGAGGATGGCAGGGTCAGGGTCAGGTCCTGGGTCAGGGGATGGTTGGGTCAGGGTCAGGTCCTGGGTCAGGGACGGCAGGGTCAGGGTCAAGTGCCAGTGCAGGGCATGGCAGGGTCAGGGTCAGGTCCCGGTGCAGGGTGGCAGGGTCAGGGCAGGTCCTGGGTCAGGGGAGGTTGGGTCAGGTCAGGTCCTGGGTCAGGGTCAGGTGCCAGTGCAGGTATGGCAGGGTCAGGGTCAGGTCCCAGTGCAGGGCATGGCAGGGTCAGGGTCAGGTCCCGGTGCAGGGTGGCAGGGTCAGGTCAGGTCCCGGTGCAGGGGTGGCAGGGTCAGGGTCAGGTCCCAGTGCAGAGGATGGCAGGGTCAGGGTCAGGTGTCCGGTGCAGGGGTGGCAGGGTCAGGGGCAGGTCCTGGGTCAGGGGATGGTTGGGGTCAGGGTCAGGTCCTGGGTCAGGGACGGCAGGGTCAGGGTCAAGTGCCAGTGCAGGGCATGGCAGGGTCAGGGTCAGGTCCCGGTGCAGGGGTGGCAGGGTCAGGGCAGGTCTGGGTCAGGGATGGTTGGGGTCAGGTCAGGTCCTGGGTCAGGGTCAGGTGCCAGTGCAGGGTATGGCAGGGTCAGGGTCAGGTCCCAGTGCAGGGCATGGCAGGGTCAGGGTCAGGGTCTGGTCCGGTGCAGGGTGGCAGGTCAGGGTCAGGTCCCAGTGCAGGGCATGGCAGGGTCAGGGTCAGGTCCCGGTGCAGGGTGGCAGGGTCAGGGTCAGGTCCCAGTGCAGGGCATGCAGGGTCAGGGTCAGGTCCTGGGTCAGGGGACGGCAGGGTCAGGGTCAGGTCCAGTGCAGGGTATGGCAGGGTCAGGGTCAGGTCCCAGTGCAGGGCATGGCAGGGTCAGGGTCAGGTCATGTCCCAGTGCAGGGGTGGCAGGGTCAGGGTCAGGTTCCTGTGCAGGGGATGGCAGGGGCAGGGACGAGGTCTGGTCCCAGTGCAGGGGATGCCGGGGCTAGGTACAGGACAGATGCAGGGGATAATGAGCTGGTACAGGTCCTGGCATGGGGACGGATTTAGAGTGGTTGTTTGCGAGTGTGCTCTCCTGCCTGGAGAACACTCGGGGGACTTGGGCGTTGTTGGCAACCTGCTGGCCTCGCAAACAGACGAGGTCTTAGTTGTGCAGGACGCAGTACACTGGACCGCCCTGGCGACACCGATGGTGCACAAGCGGCCCGCGGGGCAGGTGAATGGACCAGGTGGCATCTTCCCGAGCAGGTGGTCCTCTGGGCCACAGGCGGCTGGCTGGGCTGGCCCTCCGAATCCGGGGCGGACCCTCGAGGAGCCTCGGCTCCGCTGAGCGCCGCCCCTAGCCTAGCGCCCCCCGCGGGTCGGGAAGGTCCCCGGGACTGTTTACCTCGCTCACCCTTGCACCCCCCTGTCCTTCTACTCTGCAGGCACCGAGTCTAAAAGCCCGGTTAAGGCAGCAGAGTCGACGCGGAACCTCGCCGAGCCCCACCGCTGCTCGCCGGGCGGAGGATGCTGCGCCAGCTCCTGGAGGTTCGAGCCTCGCTGCTGCGCGTTCCCGCGCTTTCGGGCCTGCGGGGGCCTGCGGGGTCAGAGGGCGCGGCGCGCAGGCGCACGGAGCCGGGCCGCAGGGAGCAGGGAGCAGGGAGCGGGGCCGCAGGGAGCAGGGAGCCGGGCCGCAGGGAGCAGGGAGCGGGCCGGCCGCAGGCGCAGGGAGCCGGGCCGCACCATGGGCGAGACGGGCGGCGCCGAGGAGGCCTGCGGGGTCAGTGGGGAGGCCGCGCCCCCGTGACTGACTGCGTGGTGCTCCCGGAGCGCCCGGGCCGCGCCCACCCGCGCAGGGGGCCCGGGAGGGGGCAGCGGGCGTGGCGGGGACGGTGCGGCCCCGGGGCGTCATGCGGGGGCTGGGAGGTGGGGGGACCCGGGCTCGGAGCCGGGCAGCGTCGGGTTCACGGTGAGGGCCGGAGCGGTCACCCGGCCTGCCCCCCCCCCCCCACGGCCTGGGCGGGTGGGGAAGGTGAACGGAACAGCGGAGGTGCAGGGGGCGCTCCCAGACGGCCGGGGCAGCTGGGCCCGGGGGTGAGGGGGGACCGAGCGCGTCCGGCTGGTGTCGGCCTCGGCTCCCGGGGGGAGGGTGGGGGACCAGAGCATGTCTGGCTGGTGTAGGTCTCGGTTTCCGGGGGTGGGGATGGGGTGGGGTGGGGGGTGGGACCGGAGCGTGTCCAGAGCATCAGCCTCGCCCCCCCCCCAGGGGTAGGGGAACGAGTGCCCTGGTGGCCTCGGCTCTCGGGGGATGGAAGTGGGGGGTGGGGGACCAGAGCCTGTCCGGAGCTGGGGCTGGCCTCGGCCTTGGGGGGGGGGTGGTTGTCTGGCTGGCCTCAGCCCCTCTGGGTGGGGGACCAGAGAGCTGCCCGATTTTCAGCCTCGACGGGGGTGGGGGGGTGGGGGGTGGCTGGCAGGTGGATGGGAAGGGAGACACCGGCTCCCCCTTTGAAGTGTGCAGAGCAGAGGGCACGGTGGGTAACGACGAGCTTCTGAAAGCTTTGTGAGCAGGAGGTGTCCAAGGAAGGAAGCCAGCCGACTCGGGCAGCAGTCGCCGGGAAAGACGTGTAATAATGGGAAAATCTGCTCCTCCTTTTAGCACGTGGGGACTAAAGAGGAATTCGTTAAAGTCCGGAAGAAGGACCTCGAGCGGCTGACCACTGAAGTCATGCAGATCCGGGACTTCTTACCTCGGATCCTCAATGGGGAGGTGCTGGAAAGCTTCCAGAAATTGAAGATTGTAGAGAAAAGTGAGTCTGACTTGCAGTGAGCAGGCAGGGATGGGACGGCAGTCTGCGCCCACGGCTGACCTTCCACGAACTGCCACTGTGGCTGCAGTTGGGAGAGTCGGTGGGGACTCAGGGTGAGGTGCCCTGGGGCTCAGAGCTCACACATCCCTAGTAAGCTGGCTGGGGGGAACGTGGCCAGCTCCCTGGGGTCTCCCTTAATGGCTCCTGTTTCTACCTGCCTCTCATCCTCGGCGTGAAGATTCCATACTCTTAGAATTAGAAAGCTCCACTCTAAAGATTAGGCGTTGGTATAAGTGAAAAATCCTGCCTTGTGGAAACTTTGCATGGAGTTAAAAGTCTCGGTAGAGATACGTGTGTATTTACTTGTTTCTAGGTGAACAGGCCAGCCCGTTTCTTGTTTTTATTAAGATTGATTGATTGATTTTATTTTATTTATTTATTTATTTATTTATTATTAATTTTTTAAATTTTTATTTATTTATGATAGTCACACAGAGAGAGAGAGAGAGAGGCAGAGACACAGGCAGAGGGAGAAGCAGGCTCCATGCACCGGGAGCCCGAGGTGGGATTCGATCCCGGGTCTCCAGGATCGCGCCCTGGGCCAAAGGCAGGCGCTAAACCGCTGCGCCACCCAGGGATCCGATTGATTTATTTTAGAGGGAGAGGGAGAAACTCCCAAACAAACTCTGTGCTGAGCTCTGAGCCTGGTGTGGGGCTTGATCCCACGACCCTGAGCTCATGCCCTGAGCTGAAATCCAGAGTCAGATGCTGCCCTGCCAGCTGCCACCAGTCAGTTTCCAGCCCTGATTTAAGTCTGGGATTGCCAGGACTTGTCCATTCAGAGATTGAGATTCACCTTGAGCTCTGACATCAGGTGTCAGTCTGGGAGCCTTATCGAAGTTCTAAGATTCTGGGACTGATTCTGCGCTTAACTAACATACTAAATTACAGTTAGTTAAGTGAGTCTTTGGTGCTTAAGGCTGGTCTAACGCCATGCATTGGACTCCTCACCATCCCTGAGTGGTCTCTAGGACAAGTGTTTCTTTTCTTTTCTTTTTTTTTTTAAGATTTTATTTATTTATTCATAAGAGACACAGAGAGAGAGGCAGAGACACAGGCAAAGGGAGAATCAGGCTCCATGCAGGGAGCCTACATGGGACTCCAGGATCACACCCTGGGCCGAAGGCGGCGCTAAACCACTGAGCCACCCGGGCTGCCCAGGACAAGTGTTTCTGAGTGGCCCAGAGTGTGTCTCTAGTACTGGTCCAGACAAGAAGTTACCTGAATTCAACAGTACGCATTTCTGGCGTGGGCTGATGTACCTGGCCAAGGGGGCAGCCATACAGAGTTAGAAGGGAGAATGCTCATGACCACTGCAGTCCCCTGTCTTTACTTCCTCTTTGGAATCCTCAGATCTGCCCTGTGGTTTGCTCTGGGCGAGGTCAGCTGCACACTGCCTGCCTCTGACTTCCTTGCTGGCTGCCAACAGGGCTCGCCATGGAAGGCATCATGGGCAGAGAGATTGGTCGTCCTCCTACTCCCTCCATGGCCATGACTCCTCCCCAGGGCTTCCTTGACAGTCTCAGCTCTTGCTGGACTTGACGCTGGTAGCCGCTTGTCTCCCCTTCCTCCATCTGGAGGGCTGTTGCTAGTCTCTGGGTGTCTCACCAACCACACATCTCACCGTCTGGGATGTTGTCTCCCATGGAGACCCTGTCGGCTGTGCTCTAGGTCCCTGGTTATACCGTAGCTCCAGACCATTGGCTTCGGAGTCCCTTGTTCTGATCCCGTGCTCAGCCAGTGACCTTCTGAGAGCAGTCAGTCACCTGAGTGCATTTATCTTCAGGGAAGGAAAGTCCTGACCCATAGCAGAGCGTGCAAGTGGGCTGAGTGGTTACGTCTCGGCAAATTAATGAACTGGCATTCTGAAAACGACATCAGGGTCTCATGAATTGGTTAGCACGAGTCAGTCTGGAGATCACAAAATCAAAAATGTATATATGAGAGCGAGGGGCACAAAAATTGAATCTGTGGTGACGTGATCAGAGTTAGACTTTAAGAGCTCTTGCCTCGCCGTCCCCAGACCCTGTAGTCACGTCTTCCTGCTCTGGCTGTTTTGTCTTGGTCTACCTTGCTGACGCGTCCTCTGCAGCAGCCTTTCGGCTAGTGGAGCTTCCTGTGGAGTCGCCTCACTCCACGGCCTTTCCATGGGCAGTCTCATGCACACACAGCTTCAGTTCCCATGTTGCTGCCAGTGCCTTCTAGGTTTGGCCCAGACCCCCAGGCTTAGTTAGGGCCTTGAGTCAACTCCTACTTGGCATTTCTCCTTGTGTATTTCACCATCATTTCAAATTCTCAGTGTTTGTCCCAGCCTAATCAGCCTGCAGCCATCAGGAAGCACCCATGGGTCCTCGGTCAGGCTTATTGGCTTCTTGCAATAAGAAAGGCCACACCCCAGAAGAACCATGGGCATCTTGCCAACAAGAGGCTAGAGCCACGGTGGGTTTTGGGGAAGGGTGGAATTTAGGTGAAGTGCACATTAAATCGTGTTTTGATGGCCTCCAAGCAGAGTAGGGCCGTGTGTGGGGGCATCACCATATCCTACTACAATGGATCGCGGCCTCATGTCTTTGAGAAGCACAAAGTTTATTTCATTTATTTTTAAAGATTTTATTTATTTATTCATGAGAGACAGAGAGAGAGGCAGAGACACAGGCAGAGGGAGAAGCAGGCTCCCTGCAGGAAACGTGATGTGAGACTCGATCCTGGGACTCCAGGATCACACCCTGAGCCAAAGATAGACACAACCACTGAGCCACCCAGGCGTCCTGAGAAGTACAAAGTTTAGATCGTGTAGAACGTTGTGTCTGGAAATTCCTTATTTGAAGCTCTGCAACTAGCTAGAAATCAAGGCTGCTGCCCTGTGTCCCAGTGACTTTGATCCTGTAGGGAACAGCGGGATGTTCCTTTTTTACTGGTGTAATTCCAAACAGCAAAATTTCTGACAGTCTGAGATTTTACAAAATAGGCTTTTTGTGAATAAGAAATCAGCAGTCACTGAAAGGGGTCGTTGTCACAGTGTGTTCTTGGGAGAAACATTGTTTCCTGTTAACTTGGCAGCTTGCTTCATATGTCTGTTGGCCCAGCGTGGCGAACTCCGGGACAGATTTCTCCTTTCCTGCCTCTGACTCATTCGTGCCGTCCATCCCCCTAGCCCACCTCACACTGGTCTTTCTCAGTCTCCTCAGGGCACAAGCAGGTTTTTTTCCTCATGGCTGCATCCTGGATTCACTAGCCTGCGTCTGCTGCCACCTCTGAGCCCAGGCCCCTATCTTTGCCTCCTGTTTCTCTGTTTGCTCATTGTCACTTTCCAGTCTGCCCCAGACTGTGTAGCCTGTGTAGTTTTTATTTTTTTTATTTAATTTTTTTAAAGGTTTTATTTATTTATTCATGAGAGACACACAGAGAGAGGCAGAGACACAGGCAGAGGGAGAAGCAGGCTCCATGCAGGGAGCCCGACGTGGGACTCCATCCCGGGTCTCCAGGATCACGCCCTGGGCTGAAGGCAGCGCCAAACTGCTGAGCCACCCAGGCTGCCCGCCTGTGTAGTTTTTAATAGTTAGGTGTGGTTATGTCATTTCCCTGCTGATATCTTCAGTGGCTTCTCCTTGCTTTTAGGACACAGACCAAAAAACACCCCCTCTCCAAAAAAGCACCACCACCCAAAAACCTAAGCAAAACTGTACCATGGCCCAAAACACTTTGTATTATTGGACTTAGCCTCAGGCGCAGTCTCATTTCCTCGTCTGCCTAGATAAGATCTGTCTTCCCATTGGTCCTGTCAGGTGTTGCAGCACACCACACTTTTCCTTCAGATAAAGTCCTTTTTATTGTCATCCTATGATGTAGATCAGTGGGAGGGCAGGGCCCCTCTTTTTGCCTCCCACTGTATTCTCTGTGCCCAAATATTTGGTCCCGAGGGACTTCCCACCCACCCCTTTTCTGCATGCTCTTCTTTCTGAATTGCTCAGTATCACAAAGCTAGAGCTAGAGGTACCTGGGCGTTAAGAGAAAGGGAGGATCAAAGTGGATTTGGTGTCATGCTCACCCTCAAGGCTTGACTATGAACTCTGAACTTGAGTTGGCCCTTGAAGGCTTCTGCATCTCTGGCCTGAGGCCTGGCCTACAGGAGGTCCGTCTAAGGCATCTTTCACTTAGTTTTGGCTGTTGAATTTTTACTATTTGGGTGACATGAAGGAAACAAAGTTTCTCTCCCTTTTCTTTTTATGAGGAGGAAGGCTGCTGGCTCTTCCCTGGGCCCTCTGAGACAAATCTGGTGAGCCATGGCCCCGAGAATGGCTCCCCGAGAGATGATCCAAGGATCACAAGGTGACAGCAAGAGCTGATGGACATGCTGATCTATCTGCCCTCCTGGCCCTGTGGTCTTAGAGCAGTATTAGGGTTTCTTTTGCTTCTCCAGTGGGTGTGCGTTTGTCAGCTTAAGGAATGACAAAGAGCAACACAGAGGGAGGAACGAATGCAGACAGGAAGAGTGTAGAGGGCAACTATACCTGATTCGAGGGGAAGCTGCTTTTGGAGCCTAGGGGGTTGGCTTGGTTGGGCTCAGGCCATAAAGAACCCATGTTGACAAAATGAGTGTCACGTAGTGAATGGGACTTAATTCTGATTTTAGCATAGTAAATCTTTACTTCCCTTTAGGAAATTGGGCAGGTAAGTGGTAGAGTTTGGAGTCTTCGTGGGAAGGGTGTTCTCTGAGGATCCCTGAGAATATATGAGCATTGAGGAGCCAGGCATGCTTTGAGGGGTAAGAGGAAGGTGTTTTCAGATGGGGTGATGGTTACAGATGGTATGAAAGTCACAGATGAGAGTAGAGTTGATTGCCCACTAATAAGCTAATTTTTCAGCTTGATACGTGGAGCAAGGATTGGGGTATAGCAGAGTCAAGGTCAGTAAATGTCAGTAGTTGATAGGAGACTAAA